AGGGGAGCTGGCTGGAGGCAAGGGGGTTGGCAAGGCCTGGTTTCAGTGGCCAGTGTTCACCTAGTGTTATTGCTGTGCTAACATGGGACTGGGCTCCCATTGTCCCCATTCAAAGCTGGAAAGACTGAGGCTCTAGGTCAGTGATGGCAAACCTTTTGAGCTCGGCCTGTCAGCATTTTGAAAGCCCTAACTTAACTCTGGTGCCGTGTCACATATAGAAATGTTTTGATATTTGCAACCATAGTAAAACAAAGATGTATATTTTTGATATTTATTTTATATATTTAAATGCCATTGAACAAAGGAAAATCAACCAAAAAAATGAGTTCGCGTGTCACCTCTGACACGCGTGTCATAGATTCACCATCACTGCTCTAGGCAGATGAGCTGGAGCAGGGGATCAGACACAGGTATGCCCGAGGTGGACTGGCCTTGTGGCCGAAGCTGGCTTCCGGTCTGTCCAGTGGAAATAACTCAGGTAGCGCTGGGGGCGGGCCTGCTGTCAGCGGGTGTAGGAAGTGGTGAGGCAGATGGCGGCTGAGGCTGTGGGGGCAGGACACCTACCCAATACCTTGGGGGGCCACTGGGCGTGGAAGGGGCTGCATTTGAACCAGGTCTCTCACCCCTGAGGCTCCACCCCGCCTTCCAGACTAACTCTGGGACCGTGAGACTTCATTGGCACTGCCACAGCTCACAACTCATGGACCACTCACCGTGTCCAACCTTTTGCCCAGACCTGGGGCGGGACTGTAAGGGGGCTCCTCCCCGTTGGCCACACCCTGAGTTAGGAGGTTTTTAGGAGCCAGGGTTTGATGAAAGCTGAGTAGCTGGAGCTTGGGCTGCCTGCTCGTCCTTCTAGAGCAGGGTGGGCAAACTTTTTGACTCGAGGGCCACAGTGGGTTCTTAAACTGGACCGGAGGACCAGAACAAAAGCATGGATGGAGTGTTTGTGTGAACTAATATAAATTCAAAGTAAACATCATTACATCAAAGGGTACGGTCTTTTTTTTCAATAGTTTTATTCATTTCAAACGGGCGGATCCGGCCCGCGGGCCGTAGTTTGCCCACGGCTGCTCTAGACAGCTCCTCAGTTGTTTAGTCCAGCCTCCTGGGTTCCGCTCAGACTTGGACACGGTCAGGGCCCATGGGCAGTACCATGGGAGCTGGGCAGGGGGGCGCCACAGCCCTAGCCCCAGATGAGCCTTGGGAGCCTCAGGAAATCTGGGTAATAGGCAAGGTGTAGAGGCCCCATCCAAGGCTCTTTCTTCCCTTGTCTTGCAGAGATGGTGCCTCTGAGTCACCTTGATGACAAAGAACAGCCCCCAGCACCTGAGTCCCTGGAGGTGAGGCACAGTTTTGGGTCCCTACACCTGTCTTGTTCTTTCCAGGCAGCTGTGGGAGGGGCTGGGTTTGCAGAAGTTTTGCATGACTGGTGCCTAATAAATGCCTGTGACTATGAGGGGAAGGTGGAGGAAGTTAGATTGCTGTGCTGTGTAAGTTGGGCAGGGCTGGAGGGGACACTGGGAAGGTTTTGAAGGATGTGTAGGAGTTTTCTGGGCACATCTTGAGCAAAAGCTCAGAAACTTGGACACTGAGTTGGAGTTTATATGGGAGAGAAAGTAGCATCAGGCACCAAGATTTGAGGGCCGGAGGAGCCCAAACCACGCCTCAGGGAGCCAGGACCCTGAGCCCTTCTTGTCCCACAGAGCCGTGCCCTGATTGGTCCGTCACGGAGGAAGCCATGTGAGAGTGACTTCGAGACCATCAAGCTCATTAGCAATGGGGCCTATGGGTGAGTCCTCAGGTCCCCCACAAATCCATTTCTCAGATGCCCACAGAGATGGCGAAGGCCCAGCAGCCCCTGAGTGCACAGGCAGGGAAACTGAGGCCTGCAGAGGGATATGGAGGTGCAACACAGCTGGCACGACCTTGAATGTACCCATCCTTGATCCAGGTGTAGGGGGTTCTGGCCAGGAAAAAAGATGACCACATGGTGGCAGTAGCACGCAGTGAGCATTATCTGCCACTTGGACAGATTTGGGGGAGGCGGGGGCGAGTCCCCGACAGCATGAGACCAGCAGAGCAAGATGGGAGAGGGGGCCAGTGGCCAGGTGGGGAGTCTTTGGGTCAGCGAGCCCCAAAGGGCAGCAGCAGCATGTGTGGGTTCCTTGTAACCCCAGGGTTTATCTGTGTCTGGGAGCCGTTGGGTACAGTTTCATCGTCTATGAAGCCAGCAGGCACGAAATGGCTAAAAATCTGCTAATTTGGATTATATTTAAACCCCTGAGTGGGTGCAGGCGTTTGAGTTACTGGGTCTCCGCCTGCTGTGAGTGAATAAATGCTCCCAGGGCGGGCACACCAGGCCCGTGTCTGGTTCATTCGTGGGACACCAGGGCGGGCAGCTTCACCTATGGCGGCTGCTTTGGGAGAGGGGCCAGGTATGGGGAAAGGTGTCCCAGATGGAGAGCACACACAGGCCGACGCCCAGCAGGCGGGGTCCTGGGCCCAGGCTGGGTCCCCGTGCCTGCCAGGGCCTCGGGCACGGGCCTCACCAGCCCGGCCTTTCTCCAGGGCCGTCTACCTGGTGCGGCACCGGGACACGCGCCAGCGCTTCGCCATCAAGAAGATCAACAAGCAGAACCTGATCCTGCGCAACCAGATCCAGCAGGTCTTCGTGGAGCGCGACATCCTCACCTTTGCGGAGAACCCCTTCGTGGTCAGCATGTTCTGCTCCTTCGAGACCCGGCGCCACCTCTGCATGGTCATGGAGTACGTGGAAGGTGCGGTCCCGGGGTCGGCATGCCTCCAGCAGCAGGGAGCTCACCCTCTCTCTGCCTGGAAGAGGGCCCTGCTCTGTCCTCCAGGGGGTCCCGGCCTGCCTCGGAAGCCCTCAGCCTAAGGTGGGGGATCAGGGCTGGGGGAGCCCAAAGAAGAGTGTAGGTGGGGAGTCTTTGGGTCAGAGAGCCCCAAAGGCAGCAACAGCGTGTGTAGGTTCCTTATAACCCCAGGGTTTATCTGTGTCTGGGAGGCGTTGTTAGGGTGGGGCCCCTGGAGGGTAGGGGAGAGATGTCCATCCTTGCAGGGGAGACTGGTGGACAGAGGCCTGGAGGCTGAAAGAACGGGAGGGGTAGGGAGGAGTTTCGGCTTCAGGTTTGCAGTTCAGGATAGAGCAGTACCTTCAGGTAAGTGCCTGAACGGGCACCAGGGCGCTACCAGGCAAGGAGAGAGCATACACTTTGGGGCCACCACTGTGTACAGGGAAACCACTGTGCACTTGACACAGCTGCTCCTCTCTCCGGGCC